AGAGAAAGATATTCAATCTTATTTACAAAATGTTTACAAATTGTGCATGGGGTCGATGCAATTTTGTAAATTTCTTAAACCTAGTATAGAGGTCATATTAATCTGTATTTTCAGCAGGGATGTTACACCACAATTAGGCCATTTCATACAGGGCACAGAAAAAAATGCTATTATTCAGTATTTTACCATAGTTTTGGAGAGAACATATTTGCAAAATGTCAGTGATTCTGTTAATGGGCACTCATCCCCAAATTCACAGCAGTAACTAGCATTTGACAAGAAATGAAGAATACAAAGAAGTAATTTAAATAACGCAAACATCTCCTTCTTTATTAGACTCATGAAAATGGAAATCAAGGAAAGACATGGTCCAATGGCTAACTTTTGTGGAGTGAATGACTAAGATACAAATACTTTCTGTCCTCTTTCAAATGTTATATTGGCACTTTATACCTTTCTGAAAAATGTAAGGACAATGTGAGGTAGATTTACCATTCAATATAAGGAAATTTAGGCTTCTCTGTAGTATATGCAAGGTGATTTGCACAGGCTTAGAGAAATTTGGTCTGTGTAGGATAGCTGAAGATCATCATTATTCACCTGGTAACTAATAATTGAGTTTGGTGTACCAAATAGGTTTGGGAATAAAAATGCCTTATAAATATCAAATGTATTGTCTACAGTAATATTGTATATTGTCAGTTATATGCCTTTTATAAAATAAATGCTGTTTTTCTTTCAGTTTATAAAATCTCTAACCACAGAATTATACATATATATTTTTTCTTAAATTCAAGAGATTCTGTATAGACATTTCAATTAATCAAATATTTATTGTACATCTCCTTGAGCCTTGCATAATACTAGAAACTGGAGATATGGCTTTGAACAAAACAGAAACAGCTTCATACTTTCTGAAACACAGGACCAGTCAAGATAACCTATAAAGTGTTTATGGGAAAAGATAACTTTCATTCTTACTTTGATTTGGTCAGAATGTAATTTAAAATTAGGAACTACAATAGAAGTTACCTTATAAATGTTGGTTGCAGATTCCATAGTACTTTTTTTCCCAATTAAATCTAAGAATTATTCATTGAGTAACTATTGCTCTAGGTTTGATGCTATAGATACAGCACTGAAAAATACGTCTTACCTTCATGGGGCTTAGTGTAATTATATTTCAGTTACAAATGCTGTGCTATATATAAGTTAAATTCAAGATATTAGAAAATAGTGTAGATTACAATTTACTCTGTATATAAAAAGATTCATGACATCTTTTACTTGACTTGCATGCATTAATCTAGTCAGAAACGTTTGAGACACAAACATATTTAAGTGTTTACTGGAAATTTTCAGCAATGAAATGATACTTTTTTCATCGGTCATGTCTAATATATCTTACTATATTTAACCATGACTTTTATTACAAAGAAACAGTTCTGTTTTGTGAACTTGCCAGAAATGTTTGTATATAATATGATAAGAAAACTCATAGTAGCTTTTTACTATCAATTGATTAAATGACCAAAAATCCATCTGTGTCTCTCTCAATTTACTCTGATACATTTTCTGCAGTGGAAGTAAAATACAATGAAATGAGATACTTTGAGCTCATTCACGCATTCAACATTTTTCTTTCTTAGTTTCTGCACTCATCCAGACATTTTGCATCTTTGTTTGGGTATCAATTAAATGTGTTCCTCCTTTGCCTATCTTTCTTAATGTTTATTTGTTACTTTATTTCATGTTAGTGAGAGGGAAACTGTTGGTTGGTGCAACACAGGTGATTCCTTGGTAAAGTCTTTGATAAAACTTGTGGAAAACTTTGTTATTCTTGTGTGTAACCACACGATCTAAATATAGCCATACATTTTTGTACTCTTACTAGATCAACATCTAAACAGGCTTTTCTCTTTTCCCAGTCCTTGTCCCTCTTTCTTATCTTAAAAATGCAGTCAAGCCTCCGCGGTCAACCAAGACAGAAACATTAGGTATTCCTTCTAACAAGTAAATAATTTGTATTTCTAAGAACTTTCTTACAGGTTAGTATCTATTCTCTAGAATTTTTTTTAATCCAGAAAGAAACCTACCTGAATATATTTTCTCACAAAAATAAGTCAAATTCATATTTTAAAATTGTAAAATTACAAAACCAATGAAAACTTTAAGAATATATGTAAATGCTATTATAACATTACTTTCTGACACATATTTAGGTAATCAAATTAATCAAAAGAAAAGTGTACGATTGTACATTAAAACTGTCCTATAAGTGTCAGTGAAATTCTACATTCTCTGATTGTGAGGTTTTGATATTCAACAGCAGAATAGGGTTTATACCAAGCATAAAGGAAAAAAGAATATTTTCAAGGAAAACAAACAATACACAAATAAACTACCCATCATTAATTGCTAAACGTTTATAAATCCTCCTGACCAGAATTGCTAGCAGATGCTGAGTTTTGAATTCGGGATGATAAAAGTATCATCTGGATTGACCATGTGTATTAATTCGAAATTTTAACGTGTAAGATTATGCTGGATTTTTTATTGTCTCCTTTCTAAATCCCTTTTCTAAGTAAAAGCCAAGCTCTCGAACAGACTATTTCTAAGAAACAAATGTCAACATTCATAGCAGATTAATATTGTTGAAGAAAGGGATTTGATAAGACTATTATTCAGTATAATATAATCTGATTCTATTTGAAAAATTTTAGATAGGAAGTTGGAGATGGATACTGTGTTCCTTTGCACGAACTATTTGAAATACAATGTGACTCCTGAAAAATACACACTCTTTCAGCAATGTTTGAGCTATTACCTTTCCACTTTTTTTTTTTTTTTTGAAGTAGGACTTTTCTAAATGTAGACTGAAAAATAACCTTTATTTCCTGGATAGCAGTCAAAATCTCCTTTCTTTGTCATCTAATGGAAAATTATTCCTAGAGCAGAAGAGCATCACCTAATGTCTCATGAGAAAGCTATTAGTATGAGATCGTCACATTTCTTAGATAAAAACTTAATGCCAAACATTAATGTAGAAATTCATTTCACAATCTTTCTTACGTCTTACATCTCCCTTCTGCTTTGATGAAGGTTGTATGGTTAGGTCATAAAAAATAATGAACTGGGTTTTAGAAGTAGAAAGATGATCTAATTTCTTTTCTTTTTTTTCCCCTCACCGAGAAAATGGAACCAATAGTCACGGAAATGACTGATGATGAAAATGGGAGTGATTTAAAATGTAGAAAGAACTGCAATATCAAAATTAATCTGGAGGGTTTCGTACATGCAATGCAGTAAGGCACTTGGGATGTGACCACCAATCCACAAATAACCCTCTTGTGGTGCCACACATTCCTTTCATTTATCCCTTTTCAGTTTAAGATGACTCCTACAAATTTAGCTTGGGGTTCTACACAAGAGAGATGAGTTTCTCAAGGCTACCGTGGGAGATGGTGTCGGTTGCCTTCCCAATATCCATGTCCCTCTTCTTCCTCACTAACACTCCTACTGGTTTGGGTTTTGTCCCAGTAGCAATATTTCCACCTCAATAGTTACTTATTTAATCTCTCTTGTAGTAGGGAGAGCCGTGGGATATTGTTCTGGCCAATGAAATGCAGACATGATCCTAGAGGAGAGCATTTCTTCCCAAATAAAAAGTCACAGGTTCACTACAAGGAAGTCTCTTGCTTGCTGGTCTGACTTCATCCTGCCTGCAATTCAGAAAGACTGCAGTTCAGTCTTTAGAAGTAGCCGCCATCTTGTGCCTGAAATGAATAAAACTGACACACTGAGGATGGCAGAACAGATAGTGGGCACTGTGGAACACTGAACTAATATCTGCAACTGCCTCCTACAGGCTTCTTATGTGAAAAAAAAAAAAAAATCTCCATTTCTATAAACTGTTAATTGGGTTTTGATTACTTGTAGTTGAACACTTTATGGACTGATGCATGATTTCTCTTAAATTGCTTTTGTATTGAACAGTAGGGGAAAATGCAGTACATATTGGGCAGGAAGGTGCTATGTGTAGTTCTAGCTAATTTCTTCAAATAATAAGAATAATATTTTCAGAGGATATATCTCAGTTTTTATTTTCCTGGATAACTTAAAGCTATCCAAAAGAGAATTCATTTCTGTGGTCAGTCATTGTTTGTGGAGGACAAATTAGCTAATCAAGCCAGTGTTGTGAAATAAAGAATCAAGTACAAATTGGCTTTAGTGCATGTTATCCTACAGCCATATCCTTATTTCAATGAACCACAGGATTTGTTATTCATTATTTTGTGTTGCTAAGAATAATTGGCAATCCTATCGATTTCATTTGAGATGGCAACATTTTTGTGATTGAGGCATTAATTTTAGCTTCCACTTTGTGCTAATTACTTACCTACTGACTGCAGTCAATGTCACCTTGGCTGAAACAATCTCTCTAAGGATAATTTGACAATTGATACCAAAAATCTTAAAAATATCCACACTCTATGACCTTGGAATGTCATGTGTGGAAATTTGTTTTAAAGACCAATTAGAAATAAATAAGTTAAATTACCAACAAGAGGGGTTGGTTAAATAATTACTATTTAATGTATACTATGATATATCCTATTCTCATTGAAATACAGAGTAGTAATTACTATTAAATACTCATTATATAATATTAAACAAAACAAGATTATAAAATATTATTTCAATTCTAGGGAAGAAAACAGACAAAAGACTGTAACATTTATACCAAAATTTTAGGAGTGTTACTCTCAGAGTGCACAAATATGAGTGGTTGTTTTTCACTTTTGTAATTTTCAATCCTTTCAAATTCCTGCAATCAATGTATATGATTCAGTGAAAGATATTTTAAAAGGTTTCTTGGCTATTAGCAGCATGACTCTAATTTAACATTGAAAATAGTTAAGAGCAAATCGTTTTTGTTGATTATCATTTCATCAACAAGCAGTTTGACAAAAGATTTGTTTCTTTGTTTTTTAATACAGAAATCCTAAATGGTGGAGTCTATGTAGACCAGAACAAATTCCTTTGTTATGCGGACACCATTCATTGGCAAGATATTGTTCGGAACCCATGGCCTTCCAACTTGACTCTTGTGTCAATAAATGGTAGTTCAGGATGTAAGTAGAATTATTATTATTTTTAATGTCTCAAAATGTTCTACTTTATTTGGAGATGAATGAGTTAGGCTTATCATGCCATTACTAATATTTTGAACTTTGATTGCACTCATTGAAATGTTCAGTTGTATGTGATAGAACAAATGGCTGACCAACCTTTTACTTCTAGTTAATTCTCTTTTGGGAATCATGCTTCCTCTTCACAAATTCTCATTGTGTTAACATGTTCCTCTTTGCTTAATTTAAATTACTTAATCATACTTCCAATGTACAAACCTGTGTCCCACTATCCACAAACTTAAGGCTGGTATCCAACCATTGCTTCAAGTCTCTGTGACCCGTATACCATTGAGACAAAGGTAGTAGAACAAAAATGTACCTTCCTATTCACTGTAATTTTTTAAATAAAAAAGTAAAAACTAGTGAATGTTGCAGAATTCTTAAGCCTTCATTTGCCCCTGAAGACTTCATGGTCATACTTAATGATTTCAAACACTTATGGAATGGAGAAATATAGATTTCATATAAAAGAAACATGTTACAGTCTGATTTTAGTCATTAGTCTAATAAACTACTGAATTTCTCATTCTTAAATTGTGTATTCTTTTTACCACAAAGAATTTATCAGATTTAAAGTGTTTAATATGATTAAATAATAAGCAAATAATATTTGAACCATGATTTAAATCTTTGAAAATTATTCTGTCTGGTATCTCTTTCATTTTCATAAAGCAGGCTATGTTGTCCCCACATTTATTACTACTGACATTTGTATGAGAACAGAATCTTTATCAAGTGTTAACCTGGGTTTTATATTTCTCATCTATTATATATTTCCCAGCTGAAATCATAACTGTCTCAATGTAGTTCAATAATTATTTGCTATATTACTGATTGTGTTATGACATTTTTGTGAAAAATCAAACTCCAAGGGACAATTATTAAATTTCATCGTGGCCCTAATAATATAATGGGGAAATATGAATATATTTGATCAAAACTGACAGCTGTGTTTTTAATAAATGGCTAAAACTTTATGTAAAAAGTAGAGTAACATAATTTTCTTGTCACCTTTGAGCAGAAATTTGTATGGGATTTTGTGTTTGTGGTATTCACGTTGCCTACTTTGTAGAATTACCTGTGAAAAAAATGGAATCTTTTCACATTAAGGAGACAAATGATGTGTTTCAGAAATGGCTTCTGTTTTCAGTCTGCCCATACTATTGCACATATTATATTGGCGGGGTAGTGGTGGTGGGGCATGGATATTGGTTGGGTAAAAGGAAAGGCCTGCTGACTATCAGCTTATCAGACTGACTAGTCTGTAATGCATGAATAAGATCAGGCAAGAATAAAGCCTGAGACAGAAGCCAAAAGGGAAGTGTGCCCACCAGCCTTACAGAATTTGGAGCAGGAAAGGTCTGAGGGGTTTGCTGCACTTTCACAGATGGTGTCTCTTTGTGCTATTCTTTTTGAAGATAAATTTGGATGGTTGTGCCTATAATTAGGCAACTGTGGCTGTATTGTTTTTTGCATGTAAATAATTGCAGGTGCAAAAATTATAAATGCAGAGTAGAGTCATAACCAACGGTCTTTTACAAATTACAAATTGATTGCCAAAGTTTTATTATTTACATAGTAGTTTTATTTGCTGACACATTATATGTATCACATGACACCATAGCTGTTAATAATGAATTGACTATTCTTTGACTATTAGTTTCCTATGATTTTATCTTTAGTCAATTTATTTCTCTGTCCTCTCCCCAGGGGTGATCTCAGACACTCTCAGGGCTTTAAATGCAACCTCTAGGTTGATGACTCCCTAGAACTACATACCACCAACCAATCTCTCAACCAGGTTAAAAATTTGGTGGGTCATTATTGTCTTTACTTTCACTTGGCTCTTGGCAGTTAATCACTGAGTCATCCTGATTTTTGCCCATTTCTTGATTTTACATATTTATTATTATGGTTGCCCTAGTTCAAGACTTCATCTGTGTCTAAATTACAAAAACAAACTCTGAATTTTTAATATTTTCTGAGGCAATGGACACTGCAGCAGCTTGGTGAAGCCCGTTGACTTCTTCTCGTAATATTTTTAGAAGAATAAATGAGCACAAAACAAATACTTTAATTCATGAATGCATAGCAATCAATAAATACATAAAATAAATTACAATGGATTATAAGGAAAACAAGTTAGGTTGAGATACAGTTATCAAAATGCTTAAGAAACAGATACCTAATATGGTAATATGCTTATTAGTACATTAAATTATAAATATTAGCAGTAGGATTAATATCTAATATAATTTTCAATCAGTGATAGGCATAAATAATATATTTTAAAGGGAAGTCTCTTCAACAAATGATGCTGGGAAAAATAGATATTCATGTGCAAAAGATTGATCTTGGGCCTTTGTCATATGCCATGTTCAAAAATTAACTCTAAAGCAAATTACAGACCTAAGCATAAGACTTAAAACTATAAAAGTCTTGGCAGAAACTATTATGACAAAGCTTTATGATTCTAGGTTTAGCAATACATTCATGGATATAATGCCAAAAATACCAAGAGCAAAAGCTAAAATAGACCAATGGGATGATATTAAGGAGATCTAGTCACATGCTACAACAATAAATCTTGAGGACACTATGCTAAAGGAAATAAGCCAGTCACAAAAACATAAATACTGTATGATTTCACTTACATGAAGTAACTAAACTGTCAAACTCACAGAAAACAGAATGTAGAATGGTGGTATCCTGGGGTTGGAAGGAAGGCTAAATGTTCAATTGCTCTTTAACGAGTCAAGTTGTAATTGTGCAAGGTTGAAAAAGTTCTAGAGATCTGTTGGAAAACAATGTGATATACTTAACATTACTAAACATACACTTAAAAGTGGTTAAGACTGTGAAGAAAAGGTCTGAAGTATCTATAAAAGCAATTAAAAATGATACTCCTTAAAAATATGTTATTTAGGAATAATTATAACCAAGTTATATTTTCTAAAATTTACTTGAAGTATTTAAATTCAAACTTCAGGAGGGTTATGGAGAAGTTCTCAGCCTTTTGAAGAAATCCTTTTTTTCCTCATACATCCCTAGTAGAAATTATTACCTATCAACTGGGCTTATTCAATAAACTAATCCTTCGAAGTGAAAAAATCATATAGTGAATGATGTTTCATTTACTTGGAGCACTATAGTAATGATCCTCAGCACCACAAGAATATCAAAATGATGTAAATAAGTTGCCCTCTAAAATTTAAGCAAACAGGAATATACAAGAATATTAATATGGAAAAATAGAGAAACAATGATTTCTCATCAGAGAAGATGGTATAGTTCAGAGAATGAATTTGGGAGCCAAATTGGTTTTTTTGAAACCTGGCACTGCTGCTTACCAGCACTTTGACCTTAAAAAAGTCATTTATGCCCTCAGCCCCTCCATTTCCTCACCTATAAAAGACAGAGTGTCAAGAGCTGAGCTGAGTGGAGAGCTAAGCTACTAGGTGACAGTGGTCAATTCAGACAAGCAAAAATGTGGTAACAGTCAAGCTTTTAATCACTTACTGCAATGGTTTATTCAAGAGACTAAACCAGCGAAAGCACCAACTTCACTGTCTCATGTTTCCCCCATAAAACAGTGCCAGGTGAGGGTCAGATGGATCAGTGCAGACATGGGGAATTGTTTCACTGAGGAGGGATGGGAAAAAACTGTTCTGAAAGTTTTATGAACCTGGAAGCTTGAAGGAGAAAGGGGTGGGAAGGCCTGAGTGAAAAGTACTGAGGATGGAGTCAGAGTGGAGAAAAGGTGTCTTCCAGACCCCCTTACTTCCTCCCTATAAGGAGATCTTAGTGAAAGCATCTAAGGAAAGCTGCTATCAAAGGACCTTAATAAAGAGGTCTCTGAATAGCGTGCCTGGGCCAGGATGGGAGACATACATGAGACATGACTGGTCAGCAAACCCTGAGTCTCACTGCAACTCCCTTAGAGACTGCATTGCATTGACTGGGCACCAAGTCTGGTGTGGGAGGACAACTTTCCCCCAAGGAACCCTGCCAGGTAAAGTAATTGCCTGTGCTCCTGCATGAAAGATCACACATAGGTTTTTTTGTTTGTTTGTTTTTGTTTGTTTGTTTGTTTTGCCCAGGAGCTGTTATTATCATCAACTTCATAGGCCTATTATGAGCAATAAATGAGTTAATGTGTCAATCCAAGGGTGATTTCTTATGACAAAAGAATAAGGGACTTTCCAATTATAATTTTTATATGAATTGACCATATGAGGACAGAAGTATTTTTAAAATATGTGACAGTTATATTTTCATTATATATTCATTGACATTTAACTATGTTTCTACATTTTAAGTGTGTTTTAGTAACTAGAAGGTAGTCTCTCATAGGTGTAGCTCATCAAGACATTGAGAAGAACAAACCTCAGTGGCTCCAGACCCTGCAACCTTTATCTTTGATTACACTAGGTACATCACTTATTCTAAGTTGCTTTCTAGAAACGAATACCAACTAACAACTGAAGTGGGAGAGGGGGAGTTGACAAATTCATCAATACCACTGTATTCATGAACATAATTCCAGGACTAATTACTTGTTTAAACCAGATGTTCTGCCTGCATTCAAACTATCCATGTTTTAAATTTTTTTTCAATGACTTTTACATATCACAGTAATGACCCACTCCTAATTAATGTTGCACTTTGTATTATATATATCTAGCTTTCTTGAAATAGAATTCTCAAGATAGAGTACAGTTAAACCTGATTTGTTACATTACCAACTTGTGTTACTCCTTCCATATGAAAATATTTAGGTAAAATAGATGTGCCTTTCTAAGGTACTTTGTAGTAAAGCAAAACAAAATTAAAAAGCAGCAAGAAAATTTACCCTCGATGTATTGTAGTACAGCTTCAGTTTGTGTGCATTAGACATACAACACATCTAACTTTGCATAAACGTATACATGGAATGAAAT